TATGTTTGCAAAGAAAAATCCTTAACGAAACAACTTCATAGTCAACAACGTTTGGTTATTGTGACGTTTCGGTGCAGATTAATTACTTTAGCTTGATAACGGTGGAATATTTTGTTAGGAGCATTGGCGATAATGAAATACATAACTGGTTTTACTTACCCCTATTGTGTAGTAAAGGCAGCTGAAACATACCGTTATAAGTACACATCAAACATAGTGTTACAGTACTGTGAATATTTGCAATCAAACGCCAGTCAACTTGAAAAGAGAGGCAACACTCAACGCAATTGGTTCTGACTGAGTGAGTAAAGTTTTACGCCGCTTTCAACTATAGTTAAGCAAAATCACAGCGGGGAACATCACAAATGGGCTTCACACATTGTACCCATGTGGGAAACCGAACCCGGGTCTTCGGTGTGACGAGCGAACGCTTTAACCACTAGGTCACCCCGCCAGCCCCTTAATGATGAAACATAATAATTAATCATTCTATCAATAGGTTCAATTGATAGAGCGGACAACAGGATCAATATTTTGAGCATAACAAGATAACACAACGGCTTCCGTCGGGTCAATTGTGATACCTATTCATTTTTAAATATATTTCAGGATTGGGTGTGTTATGAAAGGATGCACGCATACATGTCAGAAGAAACATTACAAAATTCGTTCTGTCTGACATTGTCTGTGGTTCTGATTTGAACACGGAAGTCTCACTTCCTCATGAAGTCAAAAACTGAATTGGCTGGTCCCAAATCAGTCATGTACATATCGCCTCCATATGTTGCATGAGTTGGGCTTTACACCGCTTTTAGCAATATTCCAGCAATATCACATGGGCAATGAGCATCAGAGATTATACGCATGAGGGGATTAGAATCAAGCGAACGCTTTAACCACTAGGCTACTCCACCGACCTGGCACATACCTGGGTGTGACGGCACGAAAGTAAATTGTACATTTCATTGGTCCCCCGAGTCATTTATGTTGGGGGATTGATCGTTTAAAATAAACAGAACGTTTACATGTTGTTATTTGTCTTGTTAAAAACTGTTTCCTGCGTTGTTTTTGTAATCCATAAACTATCGAACTAATTTCAGAACTATTTAGGGGCGGTGGGGTAGCTCGTCACACCGAAGACCCGAGTTCGATTCCCCACAATGTGAGAATCCCATTTATGACTTCCTTCGCCGTGATATTGCTTGAATATTGCTAAAAGCGGCGTAAAACTAAAGTCACTCACTCAGAACTATTTATACGCCTCTGGTATATACAAGGATGTTGCTGATTGTTCCGTTACATAGTAAACGACAAGCTTTATACATGATCTGAAGCATCAGTGCTTTCCTTCAGCACAGAGGTAGAGATTTGTGGTTAAAACTTCGCTCGTCACGATAAAGGCCTGGGTTCGAATCGCCACATGGGTACACTTTGAGAAGACCATTTCTGGTGTCTATGGCGTGATATTGCTCGAATACCGGTAAAATGCCGAGTAAAACAAGACTCACTCATTCGATACCATTCGTAACTACTCGCCTCTTTCCGTGACCTACAAGAAGACTCGTACCAGTATAGTTATTGCCAAGAATCGTGGCAAACCAATCATATCGCGCGAAGTAAAATGTGAAATGAGTCAAATAGTTTCTTTGCAGTTATCGAATTTCATTATTTTTTCCGTAATTATAAAATTATCTCGTAACATATTTGTTAACGACATAAAAAAGTTACTTGAAGTGATCTACGTGTTGTATTATATATTTCTAGGAGTAGCCATGTTTGGAATTTGAGAGTTATCTTTCCTTGGAAATAGTGTTAGACCATTTTCATATCCGTGACCGTTTGCGGTCAGACAAGGCCAAGTCGTGAACATGCCCCACGAGAGGAGTACGAGTCGCCATCCAGCTTGCCGGAATGACACGAGTAGTTACGAATGCCATCGATAAATGCGCAGCGCAAAATACAGGAACTATCAAATTCGTTCACTTTGATTTAAAGTTATCCACCCCTGTTACCTCTTAAACAAACGGCATACGACTCGGAGTTTGAAATTGTGAATAACAATATGTATATGTTTTAACTGTTTATTTGATCTGGGTTTCTTGTTAGCTATTAAACGAGACTGAAACTACTACAACTTGTTTTTATTTCATATAACCTATACCTTCATTTGGGAAATGACTTCAGTTGAGACAATTCAAGGCTAAAAAGTATTGCAATAGTATCCCAATAGTTGGTGGCAATAGTTGTTTTCCACTCAATAGTCACCCCAACTAACTAGAAATATAGCACTTACCGGAACAGCAAACCTGCCCGGCTGGGCACTGCCGAACTAACCGTCCTGCAGGGGGACAGAAATCATCCAACACACATGAGATGACTCCAGGAATGTTGCATGCTGAAATGAGAGATACTTCCAAGAAAACAGGTCTGTTCAAGTCTCTTAATATACAGGGTGGAATCCTTTGAAACAACACTTAAGGTGTATGCATTATCAGAGACAAATGTGTCCAATATAACTTATTATTGTTAGATGCTAGCCATGGTAAAACAAATTGGGTATCAAAACTTAATATAAGATAAGATGATGCTTTATTATTCCGAAGGAAATTTGCTTTACACGGTTAACACTGAAATACAATACAAGAAAAGAAAAGATACATGTACATAAGACCACAAAAACACCCATACATATGTTAAATATTACTAAAATATCTGGCATCAACGTCTATTATATGAGGTAAAGATAAATGATGAATAAATAATAATAATATATTTAAGATTTAGAGCATAGAGGCAACTTTTAAAATTTGGCTGAGGAACATTAGCACTAAAGTATATCAATATAACAGTTTAAATCAATTGATAAAGTATTATAAAATCATTTAAGAACATTAACATAATTCATTTAAAATACTGATGTTTGCTGGGATGAAAGAATTTCGAGCCCTGGGCCCCGTTGCTCAAAGCGATCGTAGCGCTAAGATGATCGTAACTCCCATACTTTAACATAGACTTACGACAGTCGTAGTGCTACGATCGCTTTGAGGAACAGGGCCCTGTTAAGTTATTAATTTACAATATGGGATTTGGATATGTATGGGAAAGACAGTATATTAGTAGCTTAAATTCCTTCCTGTCTGAATTTATGATCAGGGCTCTACATATATCCCATCAAGAATAGCATAACTCGTTATCATCAAGTTATTCATATTGTCTTTTCAAGTGTAATCTTTCTATGGAACCATATCTTAGTGTTATTAACATTAGTAAATTTCGCATTGTTCTTACACAGTTGCGTTGGGCTCCCATCAAGTAAATATTGAGAAAGGTAGATACACAAATAAACCTAGATATCACAGGTTATGTAACACATGTGATAATGGATATATTGAAAACGAGTATCATTTCCTTTTAGTGTGTACTGCATACAGTTCTTTGCGCACTAAATATATTCCTGTCAAGTTTTATACATAACCTTCGTTGTCAAATTTCAATATATTGATGACCTCCAACAATACTTTTGTCATCAGAAATGTAGCAATGTATATTTATTATGCTGCAAAGCACCGCCAATCAAATATGGCTGCAAATATGTAATATTTGTACTATAGGCCGATGGCCTACATACACTCTGTGAATAATGAAACATTGTTGAATAAAGAAACTTTGTTGATTTGCCTTACGTGCCAAAGTCGTTGTTACCATTGCAATGGTAAAGAAATCTGAAACAAAAGATGATCTGGTTATAAGATATTCTTTAATTGGGTGTTCCCTAAACAAGGATATTTATCTTTTTAAATTGTTGTCACAATATACTGAAATTGTTGCAGTACTGGAATGCCGTTTGGGCATCTTCTCATGGCGTGGTTATTGTTATCAATAAAGGGTATTCGTCCATATTGGAACATCATGACGGTCTGTTAAAGACAAAATATTATGGATGTCAACTTCTTCTTAAGTGAATACACAACGTTTCTGGGCGTTTCCTTGTCCCATCATCATTCACCTGACGTAGGGACATGCTATAGCCCAGAAACGTCCTGCATTCAATAAAGAAGAAGGTGACATCCATTATAAGTTGTTCATTGGTCTCGAGGGGGACATGGGCTGATGTACCCTCGATGTTTGTTTATGTTCCCTGTTTGAACCACGGGTATCGGATCATAGTATGGAGTACAAGACGACAAGAAAAAACAAATTTAGAGTTATCTCCCTTCAATCGATTTGCATTCGCAAAACATCGGTAATTTCGTACATCATACGTGATTCAATGTTATTCGAGATAAAGAATTAATACTACGAAGTACCAAATGAGCGGGGTACATAGAAAATGTTACTCGCTTGTAAGAGGGGTACATTGAAAATAACAGAAGAGTGCTCAGCCAATCAGAAAACGACATTTATGTGTGAAGCAAGGTAAAATAGTTTGTCTTTTACTTGAATACCAACTTGTATATGGCTCTCAAGAACCTCATCATGACCATCGACCTACGCAATGGGGATACGATGACATGTGTCAACCAAGTCAGCGAGCCTGACCACCCGATCAGGGTACTCGCCTCTAAAGACAAGCATGGGTTACCCGGACCCCTTCAGGGGTACTATGCGATTGGAGTACGATGACATGCGTCAACCAGGTCAGCGAGCCTGACCACCCGATCCCGTTAGTCGTCTCTTGCGACAAGCATGGGTTGCTGAAGATCCATTCTAACCCTGACCTTCAATAATAGTAGCACATGCTTTTTCGCAAGAGGCGACTAACGGGGTCGGGTGGTCAGGCTCGCTGACTTGGTTGACACATGTCATCCTATCCCAATTGTGTAGATTGATGCTCATGCTGTTGATCACTTGATTATCTGGTCCAGGTTCGATTATTTACAGACTGCTGGAATATTGCTGAATGCGGCGTAAAACTAAACTCAATCACACACTCACCCACACTCACTCACCCATTCATTCACTCTCACAGATGTTGTCTAACTTACTTGCAGCACACCTGACCACTTGGACACTGTCGAGCCGCAACGACTCCATTACTGTCGCAGAAATTTGTGTCAACACATGACAAGACTCCCGGGTAGATTGCATGCTGAAATGAGAGATTCGTCCATGAAAACATGTTCACTTTAATATACCTTTCGAAACAAAACACAAGGTGTTTGCGTTATCGGAGACTTAATGATATACTAATAAGAATTGTTCTTGATGTAACTTACGTGTCATAGGTGTCGTCGTCGTCGTTGTTGTTGTTGTTGTCGGTGATATAATAAATAAATCTGAAGCGAAAATATAATGGTTGTTCTGGATATAACAATGCAATCTTCAATTGGACGTTGAAAAGGGACATAGCATTTTTTTAAAACTATAATAGAATGAACAATATTACAGTACAATATAATACGAGAATAGCAAGTCTTAATTGCCAATGAAAACAGATTCCATTTTGTGGAAAGTGCAAAAGAAATGGCACTGCCTTATTGGCATGAAGTTTCACATGCTGTGGAGCACAGTGGTGTAGTGGTTAGCATGCTGGCCTCTCACACCAAAGGCCCGGGTTCGAATCCCGGTGGAGACACAAAACGTTGTGACCCGGATCTCATACTGTGTTGTGTCCCTGGGCAAGGAACTTCGTCAACATTGCACTCAGTCCACCACAAGTGCGTGGTTTACACTTCTCAGAAATAATGCGGTCTTTGTGATTTTGTCTTTGTTTTTATGTTGTTCAACGCCACAATTTCCCATCTAGTTGAGGTGACTGGTATCACAGGCGTCTGGGAAACTGCTCATTAAATACCAAATCACTGTCTTATCAGCCGTCAGTTTGCAGGAGAATCACTGATTTCGACGTCTCTCACGTGTGTACTGGCTGTTTTCATATTAGCTATTTTCATGACCGTTCGTTGCAAGTATTTAAAACACCGGCATCACTATGGGGTGGTATCAGAGAAGGCTGCGAAACATCCAGAACTCGGCGGCTAGTCGCACACTGTCAAAAAAGTCCTGTCACATCACTCCAGTACTCAGGTATCTCCACTGGCTGCCGGTCAAAGAACGGATACATCATAAGACCCTCACCCTCACATATCAGTGATACAGCTCCTGGTTATCTTTGTGATCTAGTAGAAGACTATGTTCCCACAAGAACTCTCCGTTCCAGTGATCAAATGCTACTAAAGGTCGCCAACATCAGGCTCAAGACATTTGGCGGAAGATCATGCGCATATATTTTATAATGCTGCTGTTGAATGGAACGCTCTCCCATTTGATCTGAAACTCCAACTCTACCTTGTTTCAAGAAACATCTTAATACCTACCTGTTCAACAGAAATGGACTGTAAACACACATGTGATATCTACGAACTCTGTTAGCACTTTGAGCACACTTTGGTGTGGAGGTTAGCGCAATATAAGAATCCATATTATTATTATTATTATGTTTTACAGATTAAAGATCTAAATGCAGCAGAGAGGGTTCGGGTGATCCTGGCACAGTTAGGCTGGTAAGGCTCATCATCAGCTCAGGGCACTCAACCCCTCTACACGCAGCCCAGACAGCGAATGGGACTTCTCCCAGGAAACGCTGCCTAGTCGAACCCACCAAGAACTTTCCGGAGAATATGAAGGCTCCCAAACACTGCAGCCTTCTGCATTACCCAGAGAGTCAGAAGGGCTGTACTCCCGGTGGAGAACCCGGACACTCTCCTGATCTGCGCCAAGAGATCAGGAGGTACCAAACCAAGGGCAGCGAGAACGATGGGGAGCCTGGTGACAGTGTACTTGGGATGCAAGCGAGACATTTCAAAGGCGAGGTCCACATATTTATCATGCTTTTCCTGAATCTTGCCAATCACATTGGTGTCAAAAGGGACAGAAAATGCAATGATATAAATAAATTCATTGGCTTTACGTTTTACAGATTAAGGATAATATGCAGCAGAGAGGGTTCGGGTGATCCTGGCACAGTCAGGCTGGTAAGGCTCATCATCAGCTCAGGGCCCTTGCCCCCTCTACACGCAGCCCAGACAGCGAATGGGACTTCTCCCAGGAAACGCTGCCTAGTCGAACCCACCAAGAACTTTCCGGAGAATATGAAGGCTCCCCAACACTGCAGCCTTCTGCATTACCCAGAGTGTCAGAAGGGCTGTACTCCCGGTGGAGAACCCGGGCACTCTCCTGATCTGCGCCAAGAGATCAGGAGGTACCAAACCAAGGGCACCGAGATCAATGGGGAGCCTGACGACAGTGTACTTGGGATGCAAGCGAGACATTTCAAAGGCGAGGTCCGCATATTTATCATGCTTTTCCTGAATCTTGCCAATCACATTGGTGTCAAAAGGGACAGAAAATGCAATGATATAAATATATTCATTGGCTTTATCAAAAAGCACAGGAATGTTGGCAGGAATTCTTCTGAGGCTGTATATTATTATTATTATTATTATTATTATTATTAGAGACAGTATTACTTACTAGAGCAGCACACCTGTCCACTTGGACATTGTCGAGCTGCAACGAATCCATCCGCCCTGCAGGAATCCGTGGCAACACATGACAAGACCCCGGGGAAGTTGCACGGTTGACCTGGAGATTTGTTAGATCGTCAACACGTGCATATACGACAGGCTCATTAACCAAGTCAGCGAACCTGACCACCTGATCCCGTTAGTCGCCTCTTACGACAAGCGAAGATCAATTCTAACCCGGACCTCCACTGTTAAGATTGAAGGCACAATGACTGTACTGATTATACTGAGCAATTCATTGCATAAATATTTAAAATAAATATTTTTCAAGGGTCGATATTATGTATATGGTAAGTATTGAGTTCTCTGGACGTAATACTGATGGCGTCAGTGGTATGTGTATGGTCATTTTGACATGCTTTTGTATAAATCACCCTTCACGGAAGTGGAGATATTTAATGCTAGTACTGGGGTTAATTGTGTAACGCTGATGTCATGACTTTGTTTTTGGTTTTGATACAGTTCGTTTTCCTTCTATCTGGTCGAAGTCTATTATCTGATTTAAACGACCTTGACAATTTCTCTCTCTCTCTCTCTCTCTCTGACATCAAATTTGTAAGAAATAACAATATATTTTTCATCTCGGAGGCTAACCTTCTTAACCGAGTATTAAATTCAAAAGAAGTGACTGTAACTATGTCTAAATCTTCAAAGACAATACAACCGTTTAATCATGAAAGAATAACATATTACATTGTTCAATCTATTTGTTACATGATCAAAATGGGTCCGGGCATTGAGACGGGTACCCGAGTCCAACTCATTACCCACCCGTCCCGCGTATCGGGGCTACCCGTCCCAGCCCTAATCTCATACTCTTGGGATAGCACCAATGATAGGTTAAACTGGTGCCAAATATAAATGTTTAGAAAGAACGAATAGACGTTTGACATTTATCAATTTATATGCATTAATTGATTGATGTCCCTCCGACAGAAAAAGTTGGACAAGTCAAGTGTTTATGTCCAGTACGAAGGCCTCAGGCCCATATACAGTTGTACATACAATAGATATATTGCAATATTGCCGTAGTTTACAAAATGTAACATTATATATATTAGGGTGAACCAAAATTGTATATATGATATCTATCATTTCACGTTTTACATATACTCTCTCTCAATTTATATGCATGCCTAAGAATGTACATAAGCGTTTAAAACTAGTACATTATCCGTTGATAGATAGGTCTAAATTTATACATGTTAGGTATATTTCACGATATACATGTGGTAAGTATTTAATTCGTAGAGTGCCATATAATGTACAAATGAATAAAAAATGGTACTCGTCTTAAGTACCTAAATTATGCTGCTTTGGAATCGAGTGAAAAGCAGAGTCCGTGGAAAGTTGATAAGACTTATAAATAGCTTTGATGGTTTGATAGATGCTTCCACGGTTAACGTTCAGAACCTTCTGTCACAGTTTTGACAAGTTACATTTACCAATTCCTTAATCAATGTTTCGATATAGAGTAGTTATTCGAGTAATATCAATGGGAACAGCCAAACGGTTATTAACAATTAGGTAACAACTCAAATATTTCCTTATATATTTATTTGCACAGATTTGCCGAATATCAACGTTTTCAGGCTCTGTAACATGTAGCCAATTACTGAACATCTTATTATTCAACTATACTACCCTTTATGGAGACAGTGTTACAACTTACGTGTCGTGGAATTGATGAAGTGATGCCCGACCTCCCTAGTATGGTGATCAACCTTCAGTTGCTGGTGATCTATAGCCTGTTCTTTTATATTGTATTGTTGTCTCTAGTGAGTGATTTATTTTTATTATAATGTACTAGTTTTAAATTAAGAGCTGTGCTAATCTAGTATATTTACTGTCCTTTGATGACAGGTTTTTACGTTCTATATTTATTGATTTTACTATTGATAGAAAGTTAATTGTTCTCGTCACGATACGGCTAAATATTAACTCACTCACTCACTAATGAAGTGATGCGTACATATGTAGGTTTTGTGAGGACGTGGCAATGGGAACAACTGCACACTTACAAAGTACAATATTTCCTTATCTATCTATTTGGAGAGATTTGTCGAAATATCTATAAATTATTTCAAACTCTTGAGCTAACATTGCATATCATTTACATCACCATCTGTAGCCAATTGCTAAATATCCAATTTGAAATTAGTGTCATTAAGGATTGAAAAATGTAAGGGTACCAATTCAAGTATTTTTCTATCTCCCGTTTATGTAGACAGTGTAACAACTTACGTGTCGTGGTCGGCGCGGTCGTGGTTGGTGCTAAAACAATGGAAAAAAACCGATTCAGTTCAAATTTTAAGACAAATGTTGATTAAAGGAGAAAAAATAGAAAGCACATGCACAAGGTATCACTGCTGAAAGCAGACTTCGGTTGTACCAGTTCTTTGATGTACTGGTTAATTAATGAAGTGATGTGTACATATTGTTGGTTTTTGTGGACGTGTCAAAGGGAACAACTACACACTTACAAACTACAATATTTCATTATCTATCTACTTGGAGAGATTTGTCGAAATATCTTTAAATTATTTCAAACTCTTGAGCTAACATTGCATTTCATTTACATCACCATCTGTAGCCAATTGCTAAATATCCAATTTGAAATTAGTGTTATTAAGGATTGAAAAATGTAAGTGTGCCTATTCAAGTATTTTTCTTTATGTAGACAATGTTACAACTTACTTGTCGTGGTAGGTGTAGTCGTGGGCTGTGCTAAAAGGTGCAAAAAAACGATTCAGTTCCATTCTTTTGACGAATGTTGATGTTAAGGAGACAAAAATAAAAGTGACCGAACATTAAGCACATGCACAAGTGACAGCTGAAAGCTGCGTCGGTTGTACCAATTATTTGATGTAATGATAAAGTAATTAAACAAATTAATGATGCGTAAATATATTAGTTATGTCAGGATAACAACTTTGCGATTTCCAAGTAACAATTCATTATTGACTTATCTATTTATTTGGGGGGATTTGTCGAAATATCTTTAGCTACCCTTTATGTAGAAATCTTGAAACTTACGTGTTGTGGTCGTGGGCGGTACTAAAATGGTGAAAAAAGATTCAGTTTAATTCTTAAGTTGTGTATTGATGTTAACTAAAAGTAACCAAAATATAAGTCACCAAACCTTTACCACATGCATAAGAAATCTCTGCTAAAAGCACAGTCGATTGTACAATTCCGAAAATATCATAAGCATGCGTTTAGAAATCACGCTCAAATAGTAATGATACCAGACGGTGGTGAAAAGGTGAGCATATCCTGCCCAACCCGTGGCATCCTTGATAAATGAATGCAAAGGCTAGTCCGTGTTCACCTTAAACAACACGGAATGTATAGTACAAATAAAAATTGGGAATTGCATCCAGCATCATTTCCGTAATTAGGCCACCGGCCCATATTACAAATACAAGAAACCAGTATTCCAATACTTGAGCACCAGTAGGTCTTAACATAACATGATTTCAAACATGCAAACATTTAGCACGTTTCTTCATACCAAGAAATATGTATTTGGCAAAGCAGTTAAAACAGCTGTCTTGTTACATTAGTAATATTGACATTTTACGTAATGAATGACTTCACAATATTACTCACCTTAAATAATCATAAACTGGACATTCAAACATAAAATGATATTGATTTTCCGATCTTGATTCAATACATACAGGATGCAACCTTTCTAAAGCCAGTATGTTTTGCTTTATACTTTCTTAAGTCAAGTCCATGATTACTACATGTATATTTACACAATGCTATTCCATATGCCTTCATCTTTACGTGTAATAAGGGACCGTTCATAATTTATGGCTAGGGGGAGTGATGATGATTTAAGGGGGGTCACCCATTTTGTTCTTGGGAGCTAGGGGTCATCAATTTTGTACACACGTACTAGGGGTCAGCAATTTTGTACATAACATATGTTAAAAAATATGCTTAGAAATTATGGGAAGGAGAGGAGGGATCATTATGAACGGTCCCTAAGTATGATTCATACGAAAGATACATTTGGGAGTATGATAAAAGTTTAACTAAGAATATTTTTGTACACCTGCTATTCACATTTGACCCTTAATATCAACACACATCTGTTTGAAAACACTTACTTCAACACCCTGTTCTATCCAAACATATCCATATCTACACTGGCAATGTAAATTGCTAACCATAAGTACCCAGCAGTCTATATATGTTTTCTGCCAACATCTATTCCCAACAATATACATGCTTCAGTATTTATTATGATGCAGCTTTAGTATTCTAGGCCTATATTTTATTATCTTAACATATATATTTACTTTCAGTGAGTGCCTTAATTCCAATTTCACCTCTGGCTCTGGCACAAACCTACCAAGGTACATATATTCTTTACAAAATGTATCATGAACTTGTTCAATGATATGTGTATGGTAGATCACCAATGTTCTGCATCGTATAATAAATAATGCGGAAGAATCTTTCCATCACAAATATGAAGTAAAACATCTGGTAGCAAATTATGAAAGTTACAAACCTTTGATTTCAACGTACATAATACTTTCCTCGCTTGTTACGATAAAACTGTTTGAGTTTGGTACAGGATCCAGAAATGTACACTTAAGTATTTATATGAAAACAGTAGAACAACTACACACAAGATGTTCAATTTCAAGAATATCATTATCTAAATGAAAGTGTTCATACTTCTTTAATTTCACACCTTTCCTAAACACAACAAATTTAGATTTATCAATATTAATTTTCAATTGCCTCTTGTCACCATAATGTGTCAACTTATTAATTCGATTTTGCACCGTACTATCAAACATAACAATGTCGTCAGCAAACATCAATATGAATAAATCAAGTAAATCAATATCAGTAAAAGTTGGTTATCAGCAGATAAAAACTGAACAACATCGATAATAATGAAAGAAAAGAAGCATGGCAATAACTGGCATCCTTGCTGCAGTCACCGAACAAACAAAAGATACACATGCTTTCACGTTTTAAATAATCTAAAGGTTCTTCTTTTGGTATTTCCGATCCATAACTTGTAGAGCATACCATTTCTAAACACATGTTTTGTGTCCTTTTCAAAAACCCGCTTGTGAGTGAGTGAGTGAGTTAAAATATATAGTCCCATCGGCAATATGTCAGCCATATTGTGACTAAAACAGTTAATATGATAACAATAAGTTTGTTCAGAGGTAAAGTAATTCTTATTTTTCCGCTTACTTCAAGTAACGTACTTGGTCTATAATTAGATGGACAATTAACATTGCCCTTCTTATACATGGGGACTATTATTCCAAGAGTCGAGATAAACACCTGTAGTCAAAATTGAATTAAACAAAAGAAGCAACATATTTTAACAGAGTGGTGGGGCAAACTTTAAGAATTCTTTCTTTTTTTCTGCCCTTATATGCATCTCATTAACAGCCCACACGACTTCATCGTGAGTTATTTCTCTAGTTCAATATCATCTGCTCATCATCTAAACAACTCTTCATCGACAGAGTCGAAAATTCTAAAAATAAAATGATAAAACTTCTCCTGTTCCGAGTAAATATGTGTTCCTTGAAAACGAGGGGAAAAAATCAACCCATTCACTTTGGCTAACAGTGTTTGTTACCACTGAATATCTACCTCATATCATAGACCAAAATAATTTACTCTCTTTCTTAATTAGTGAATCAGTTTTTTTTCTCTGTATAAGAATTAAATGAACATAAATCTTTATAATCAGCTAAATTGCATCGGCCCATCAAATTCTGATTACTAAATAGTTAAAGTCATTCCTCTTGTAACACAGGGTTGTGGAGACATGATCACGCATTTATCTAATAGGGATGTAATACCAATTCTATTTACTGAGTTAATGATTTGGTATTAAACGAGCGAAAGCGAGTTCAATAAGCGAAAAACGAGTTTACTATTCTGTATATTAGTCTAGGAACATAAATTGCTAGAAACTGCCAACAGTGTGATGACTCTCATATCAATTTTCCGCGAGTCAAGTAAGGTCTAATACCACTGAGACTGAGGCATTAGCATTGTGACTTCATAACTGTAACCATTATGACGTCATATGTCTAGCGGTATTACACTAGTGTAATACTGGCGTAAAATATTACACTGCAGTATCTTCCACGGGCGACTAATAACATAATAAACACTTTGAGCGATCTCATTGGTTTCCTCTGTTTCATGATCAACTGGGAATCGGCTATGAAATTGTTGCTAAACGATAACATGTGGAGCCCTGTTTTAATAACTTACGAAAGAGTTATATTATTTTCATTAATGTAGAGGTCACCTGTTACTTACAATAAATAGGTTTGCTGAAAGGAGAATTAACTGTAAGGGTCGTTTTCCTGAAGTATGACAGACAAAAGCTTAATCTCATGTTTATGTGTCAGTGTTTCGAAGTGTATCTCTTTTTTATTATTTCACTTAAGCCTTTTACTTTACACTTGATATCACGACTTGTCATTCAGTGTCATATGACTGTCCTTGAAACCGTCTTTCAAAGAGACTTTTATATTGTGCCTCAAGAGTTTTGAAATGTCAACACCAAAGGCTTGAGTATATGTTATGTTGCTTGACATACTCAATTCATTCTAATCCACACATGCCTGCATAGCATATACACAATATGAATCAACCCACAGCTGAAAATATATAAATATATATTTATGGGAAACGTTCCTCAATCCCTCTAGAGTTAGCACCATGTTGTCATAAGTATTCGTATCACAATTGCTTTCGTTTGCATGATTATTTCACTCTTCGCTCACACACTACATTGATCTTTCACATGCAGTTATCAAAGGCGAGCATTACACACAATACGTGTACCAACCATTTAGCAAGTATTAGGTTTTACTAAACTGTAAACTCGAAAATCATTTTGTTACACTGCAAATAGGTGACCTCCTCAATTGCCAGCTGCTCAAAGATATTTGTATGGGGGGATGCTTGAATTTCGTTGAGGGCCATTGGAAGAGATGTTGGTTGTCATCCAGACAGTCAATGAGGAGGATGATCAGGGCCTGAATTGCAGTTGGTCGAGGTTACACCAAATATTGACAATGTGCTTGGATATTGATACCAATGCGATTTCTTGAAGATTGTATGCCAGAATCTAGAAATTGCAATACGTTTTTCAATCTGTATATGTTCACCCTAATAAAGATCCTAACATGACGAGATCACTCCTACCAGATAACTGAATAGAAGCTTACTCAAATGATGACGGTTGCTGGCGAATGGGTTTATCCATTTCATTCTTTTGAATATCTTATCCCTTTCAAGAAATATGATCATCTAAATAACATCTTATGCAACTATAGTAACCTTCCTTGCTTAAGAGTACTTACCGGCACAGCAAACTAGACCACTTGGACAATCGAGAAGGACTACGGGACCACAAGTACCACTGGCAACACACGAGATGCTACTTCCAACGCAGGCTGAAAATGAGAATTCTTATGACAAATGGAACTCAGTTACTTCGGATTAATGGCAATCAAAGAATGTTAACATTCACTTACATTTATACCCTTAGCCATTCCCCTATATCAGCATGAATGGATACTGCAAAGATGTTATAATATGTACTACCAGATTTCAAAAACGTTAGCGAACAGATACCGAACTTTCCAAGAAGTTATTGTGTTGTCCTGTTGTGGTGCTCTTGCTTATCCATTTTGCAGGTGGATCCCACAGTTTCTGAACGTTAATCAAAATTGAAGGAATCTTTGGATTCAATTTCCTGTTCTTTTTTTTTCTTCAAATAATGTTTTCCAGATCACTATTGCATTTTGCATAACACTAAGGAGGGACACCTTTGTGAGACTTCAAATTTGTATTGACAGCTCATATTTCATCATCAATAATAGTTTCAAATAATATGCAGTTGTAGTATAATGACATGTGAAGTTGCAACATGTAAATTTACGGAACCCATGTACATATAAATTGTCCTTTATGCTGACATTTGTGTCAGATACCTATCATATATCTGAACACATTCCATTGGAGTGAGAGTTGGACAGTGGACTATGAAGACGTTACAGTCCTGAATGTTAATTGCAACTCAATTTAAACATTAACATTGTTTAATACATCATTAGAAACATGTCGTTGTTTAATATGTAATAGGAAAATGATGAAACTTGCGTGGTCTGGTCGTTTGCGGTGCTGCAATGATAAAATACGTTGGGCTTAATTCTTCAATTGTTGTGAAAGAGGATGCTTAATTCAAGTCCAAATGTTTTACCCTCAAATGGTAGGATGATGTTATCTATGATGGCGTCCCACATTTCACATAATGATTTCTCAGTTAACTTCATTTACACTTCACGCTTACTTTCATTTCTGACAAATTGTCCAGAACCTCCCAAGACATTTAACTACGTGCATGCTCAAGGAATAAAAGTGTTTTCTAAGTTTGTCATGTAAGACAGTGGTGAACAATCATATGTTTTTACATAACAAATCCATTTTTCTCAATACACGAAAAATTCGTCCTTGATAGTATTAATCATTAGGGTTTTATCTTTGTGAGAAAGTGATATCGTGGTACATTTACAATATTACTCTCTTTGAACAAAGGTTTGTGGTGCTGAGGAACCCTGTACAAGAGAGGAATGTGCATGTCTTCAGGTACCATAGTCAAGCAAAACGTTAATAGAAATATTCAATGGTTATGATACATTTCTTCTTCAGTTAACACGTTGGCCTTTCAGTGACATTTTTGACGTGTCACTTACGCTAATCCAACTGTTTGATGTACTGATCAATTAATGTAGTGTTGCCTACATATAATACTTATTTGAGGATATCTATATGAGAACAACTACACACTTTCCAAGTAACAATTCATATATTTCCTTATGTATTTGTTTGGAAAGATTTGCCCCAATGTCTTTCAACTTTTCCAAGCTCTTGAGCTAACATGGCATATCATTTACACGACCATCTGTAAGCAGTTACTGAATATCTCATTTGAAGTTAGTGTTATTCAGGATTGAAAAATGTAAGTGTACCTATTCAATGTTTTTTTCTAAATGTCTTTGATGTAGACAGTGTTGAAACTTACATGTCGTGGGTGGTGTAGTCGTGGGCGGTGCAGTCGTAGGCGGTGCTGAAACGACAGAAAAACCATTCAGCACAATTCTTAAGTTGTGTTTTGATGTTAATTAAAAGTAACAAAAATAAAAGTGACCAAACCTTTCCCACATCCATAAGGAATCGCTGCTGAAGGCAAAGTCGATTGTTCAATTCCGATGATATCATGAGAATGCGAACAAGAATCCATGGCACCATGTGTTCGTGAAAAGTGGAGCATATCCTTATGGAACCTTGGGAATTGTCATCAATGAATGCAAAGGCTAGTCAAATGTTCACCTTAACAACATGGAATGTACAGTACTAATCAAACTAGTCAAATTTGTAAATGCCCTCATCAAGCCTAAAATAAAACCTTTTGCAAGGATTTGCCTTTTGCGCTCTTGGACTGAACACAGACGCTATATGGATGGATGGATGGATGGAAACGTGATCCAACGTCTTAACAAGAGTCATGTGACGGTCTATACATTTCTGACAAGAAAGGAATTCTGGATTGGACCTCAACAGTTCTGAAATGTAAGTACCAAGGACTGGAGCTGTTGTAATATTGCTTAACATAAAGTTGACTATTAGAATGTTCAAGTGACCACTTTTGTCATACAGTGTTGCGGAGACTTTTGTGACTCTAAGTGGTTGAGCATATATCTACATATGAAACACTTGGTGCGTTCTCATTGGTTTCATCTATTTCATGATCAGCTGTGTAAATCAGAGGAAGGGAATTGCCTATTTAACTGTTGTTAAACGGTAACAGATCATCGATATACCGGAAGTTTAATTGAATATTCTTGGCTAAATATCCTTGTTTTCATTTTGCCAAACTGACCGGACATTCTGACTCGAAGACATAAAGAACCAAAGATGGGAGTACAATTGCTATATCCTCAAATGTTAGGATAGTTATCATTGCTATTATTAAATTGTTGTTGAACGATAACAGTTCATGGATATGCCTGAAGCTCAATTTAAACTTCATGGCTAAATTATTTGATTGGATTTTGCCAAAACATGCAGAATGTCTGACTTATATTCATAAAGAAGCAAATCCGCAAGGTGGGAAGCACAGTTGTTGTGGATCGGGGTGTTTTGTCATCTTGTCCAAATGTTTTAGAGTCCAAAACGTTGTGATGATGTTATCTTTGATGGCGTCCTGCATTTCACATATTGTTTACTCCGTCAACTTCACTCACATTTCATTTCATTTCTGATAAATTGTGCTGAACCCCCAAACACAATTTACTGCGTGCATGCGCAGAAAATGAATGGTTTTTTTCTCAGTTTGTAAAGTGTGGTATAATACAGTGATGTATAAAGTTGAAAAATCATATGTTTCGTACGAATACTTTTGTAAAAACACAGCAAATCTTTCCTTGATCGAGTTAAACTTATCAAAATTCTTTATCTTTGTGAGACAGTGATTTGGGGGTATATTTGCAACATATCTCTCTTTGTACCGACATTAATGATGTTTTGGAACCCATTTCAAAATGTACATGTCCTCAGGTCTCAGCGTCCTGCCACTGACTGACTGAGTGAGTTTTGGTTTTACGCCCCTTTTAGCAATATTCCAGCAACATCACTGCGGGGGACACCAGAAATGGGCCTCACACATTGTGCCCATGTGTGGATTCGAACCCGGGTCTTTCGGCGTGACGAGCCAACGCTTTAACCATTAGGCTACCCCACCGCCCCCAGCGTCCTGCCAAACGTCCATAGAAGTGATGACTGTTCATGGTAGATGTCCTCTTCGGTTAATATTCTCGCCTTTCTGAGACATGTTAAATATGTTACTGGTACTAGTTTCTTTTATCAAAGATTTAATGTAATAATTCCTATCTATTGTAGTTATTTGGGGAATTGTCAATATCGACAACTAAACACTTTCCAGCCGAGATAAGCCCGCTTTTTGGTTGGCAGGTGACTGGGACAGAACGGGTTTATTCCACTTTTGATTCCTCCTTTTACAGATTTGCAGTTACCTTCAACTAATGACATCATCACACAATGACTAAACCAACTCAGCAGATTCCTCTTCCGGTTTGGTCAATTTTTGGTGTACGCTTCGATAACATCCTTACTGATTTGAATATCCCAGGATTTTGGCAATTATGATATATTTATGCATACCTTTTCGACACGTTGTAAAGATATACAATTCCAGGATTGGCATTATCGGGAAGAAGTGATTTCTCTCTTTATTCTACCTTTAAATCTTTGTTATACATACAACGATATGTCATGGAATTGTTTAGTCATAAAGATTTATTAAGAATATTTTGTAAATTTAGATTCCAGTCACACAAATTAATGATGTGTAAATTAAGGTACGATGATGATATTGATACTGACCAACTTTTATGCTCTGATTGTACTATGAGTGTTGTAAAAGATTAGTATCACTTTGTATTATTTGTCCATATTATAAGCATCTAAGAGGGCAACTTATCTCTCCCTATTACTTCATATATCCTACAAGGGTAAATTGTATCAACTGTTAAAGTCTAACAATCCCGAACATATAAATAATCTGTCCATTTACTTGAAAAGAAATCTACCAACATGCGTACAATATTGAAGTGTTCTGTCGTGTGCTTTTGGCCATGAGGCTTTATCACAGAAGAAACTTGTCACTTGAAAACAGTAATCCCAATCCTTAGGTGGGTGCTCACGATATTTGGAGCCCTATTTGAATAACTCACGAAAGTGCTATATTACTTTCATTAATATAAGGATCACCTGCTACTAAACTTTCCATAACAATAAATAGTTCTGCTGAAAGGAGAATTAACTGTAAGGGTCCTTTTCCTGAAGTATGACAGCCAAAAGCTTTATCTAATGTTTATGTGTCAGTGTTTCCAAGTGTACTCTTTTTTTTATGTTTAAGTTAGCCTTTTACTTGTCATGTAGTGTCATATGACTGTCTTTGAAATCGTCTTTTAAAGAGACTTTTATATTGTACCGCCTGGGTTCTGAAATGTCGAAACCAAAGGCTTCAGTATCTGGTATGTTGTTTGACATACTCAAATCATATTCTCATCCACACGTGGCTGTATAGCATATATAAAATCTTACTCAACCCACAGTTAAAAATATATATTCATGGGGAAAGTTTCGCAACCTCTGTGGTTTTAGTCCCATATAGAATTTAGATATGCACATGCTGTCATCAAAGGCGAGCATTATATGCAATGCATGTACCAATTATTTAGTAAGCATCAAGTTTCAGAAAACTGTTAACTCGAAAAACAACTTGTTTCACTGTAAATATGTGGCCTCCTCAATTGCCAACTGCTCAAAGACAGCAAATGATTGGTTTGCAGAATGCTTGCATTTCGTT